TTCTTTGGTCAATTGTGCAAGTACAGACAACGTATTTTCTTCAGACAATTGATAGCTACCAACTATAGTTAGTAGATATCGTTTTTGATAAATTAGAGCTCTGTGTCTACTATGTGCTCGCAGGTACATTCCATAAAAATATTTCAACTGTGGAACAAAGTATTATTTTCTCGTTAAGTATAAAACGAATTAAAAAAATATAAAAATTACCTTTTTCATATATTCTAGGGACATGGTATTTGGATTTTGAGGCCCTTTACTTCGATTTACTTGACTTTCAAGTAATTTAATTCGTTGATTCAATTGCTCCTTTTCTTCCCTTGCTGTTATTAGTTTCTCCCGAAGTACAGTCTTTTCTGTCACGTATTTTTCATTCATATCGCTAAGATCCTATAAACCAAAATATCAAATATAAAATACAACTTACAAGATATCTTTGAGTTTATTATTACATCCATTACTTTGATATTTTGTATAAGTTTGCCAGGCATATTTTCGTTTGTGAATCTGCTCTTCAATTCCTTTGTAAGCTCCAGTTCTCTCCTGGTACACGTTTTTACCTCTTGTTGTAACTCAGTAATCATATCCCTTAACTTCTTTTCCTCATCTTTAGTAACAGAAAGTTTTTTAAGTAGATCACTCTCCCTTTCTTTGAGAGCCTCTAAAGTTTTAGCTAATTTCACCTCACGTTCGAGGGACTCCGTTAATTCTCTTTTGGACTGTTTCATATCAGCCTCTAGATCCATCTACCAAATAATTAAATAAATAAAAGAAATCCAAAAATAAATTATTATAAATTAATATATCGTTATACTGACCATCACTTCTCTAGCATTATTAATTTCTCTTCTTAATGCCCTGAGCTCATTGTATTCGCTAGTCCTCTGTTCCTGTCTCCTAATTTCTGCATCAGACATGGTCTTAATTCTTTTCTGTAACCATTCACACTCTTCTTCCCTTGCTTTTAAGTCTTCTTTGGTACGTTTGAGATCAGTTTGCAAGTGATCTTTAATTCCCTCTATCAGAGCCAGACTACTTATTAATTTTTCTTTCTTCTCCACTTCTACTTCGAATTGTTTTTCAAATCGAGTCTTCTCCATTTGTAATTTCTGCAAAGTATCCTTCAATTCAGCGTTATTTCTTTCTTCTTTTTCAAACTTATCCATTGCTGATAGGTACTTTTTCCTCTCAATTTCCAAAAGATCTGTTAGTCTTGGCAAATCATCGACTTTTTGGGTTTGCATATGGTTCTTCATTAAACTCAGCTGAATCTCTAAACTCTTATGCTCCTGTCGTAGCAAAGACAAATTATCTCTAAGCTTTGTCTCATTGTCCAGAGAAGTCTTCAACTTACTTTGAAGAAATTCTATTAATTCTATGTCTTGATTATGTCCACATTGCATTGCTCTGTGTTCCTTTTCAATCTGAATCTTCAATGTTCTTACTAAATTCTTCTCTGAAGATAATTCTTCATCTAATTTCGCAACTTTTTTCGATTCCTCCGTTAAGTCTGATTTAAGCTGAAATATACGACTTTCATACTCTGCTATCTGGAATCTAAGCATTTCTCTTTCGATTTCCAAATCATCTTTTAATTTTTTTAGTTCTTCATTAATCTTATCAGACAGTTTTAATTTTAGCTCCATGTATCTTCCTCCTTGGTAATCCTGATAAGGAACTTGTCTGTCTACTTTAATCTTAACCTCTGTATCATTTTCTATAGCGTTCATGATCTGTCTGTCTAAATGCGCTGATAAATTTAACTCCCTTTGCACCATATCTTCAATATCAGTATCATCTTGCGATCGTTCTGCAAATTTACATAATAAGAAACTACAATAATAAATATTTTTTTATTTTATATAAAGGAATACTTACGTGTAGGTAATTTTAGGTCAGACAATTCTTTATTTAATTTCTCTGCCATAGTCTTTAATAACTCAACATTTAATTTTCTTTCATCTTCTAGTTTCTTTCTCAATTCTACCACATTTCCAGATTCCCTCATTTTATTCCGTATAGCTTCTAGGGCTTTATATAATCTCTTGCTATCATCAATCATTTCTCTAATTATGTTATCTTTCTGCTTTACGAATTCTTGTAGATGATGGATTTCTTGATCTTTTTCGTTAGAAGGTGAGGATGTTCCCGAAAAGCTAGTGCGTCTAGCCATTTCTTCCAGCCTTCTGATAATCTGATCTCTATTATTTAAACCTTCAGTTAATCTTTGAATTTCATTCTGACATTCTAATAATTCTTGTTTAGTTGATTGGTACATGGTCTTAAATTCATACAATTGATTATTCTCATTTTCAATTTCGTTATTGGGAGTTTGTGTAGTTTTAATGGTATTATCTTTCTCAAGAATAATATCTCTGGAATTCTGGAATTCTTTTATCTTTTCCTGAAGTAGAGTGGTGTATTTTCTTGTTTGTTCTTGTTCTTGTTCCTTCTCTTCTATGTCCTTTTTCAACTTAGTATTCTCTAAATTTAGTTCCATTATAATTCTTTCATTTACTTGCATCTTGTTTTTATGATCTTGCATTTCTTCATTCCTTAATTTTAAAACATTTTCTATTTCCTGTAAGTCCTGTTTTATTTTATTCTCTGATACTTGTGATAATTCATATTGGTTTTGGTAGAAACATTTATCTCTAGAGAGAGTCTCTGCTACATCTTTAAACTCCATTTGTAATTCATCATAGAGTTTCTGTAGAGCTATCAGATCAGCTTCTCTTTTAATTAAAATCGCCGATTTCCTATCTAATTCCTCTTTCACTAATTTCAACTGATTTTCCAAGTTTTCCACCTCCTTCAAAGTCTCATTAATAGACGTCTGAGTATATTTTATCGAAGTAACATAAGATCTATTGTTACTACTTTCATTTTTCTCATTGGTACTCTCTTTTTCTAGAGATTCTTGCATTTGAGTACATTCCTGCCTTGACTGAACAACATAATCGGTCTTGTTACAGGAAAAATTTTTCTCTGACGAGGAGGTCTTTGATTCTAAATCACTCTGCAATAAATCTAAGCCTCCACATTGCTGACTGGATGATGCAGATAGGCTCTGAGATCCCAGATCTAGAGGCGGAACCTGAAGAACCACGTTGGCGGTATCCGTTAAAGGCACAACTGAATTATCTAAACTTTGAGAAGCATGTAAAGTATTAACTTTGAAAACAGATACGTTAGGTAAATTTTGAATTGTATTAGCTCCTCTGATAGCTT